ATATACCATACCTATGAGCACTAATGAGTATGTCCCAATCCTCATAAATACGTTGGACACTATTGTAAGTGGGGGTAATATGCTGTCTATGTAGTCCAACCACTAGCTGTGGTTTACCTATTTCACGTCGCTGGCGAGTATTGTATTTTGTTGATGTTATAAAGATTACCATTTCATTTCCAACCTCCGTTTTGGTTATTCCTCATTCAGTAATCCTTTCCTAGTTTACAACAGTGTTAACGGGAAGAACAGAAGAAAGCAGCTAATAACCCCTTTCCCCTTTTCTGCCTTGTGCCATAATTGTGTGTTGCATACAATAAATACAAATATGCTGTCTAAGTAGTCCACTACTAGCAGTGGTTTACCTACTTCATGCCGCTGGTGAGTATTATATTTTGTTGATGTTATAAAGATAACCATTTTATTTCAAATCACCATTTGGTTATTCCTTATTCAGTAACCCTTTCTAGGTTACATCAATTTTGTCGCGTCACTATAAGGAGTTTCTGGTTTTAGTCATATTTGTGGAAATAATAAGCAGTCTAATGTATTTATTGAAAATAAAATGAAATTTATTTTTGCATATTGGAATTTTTGAAACTTTCAAATTGATTTTAATATTTGCCTTTTAATTCGATTTTTAAATTAAAACCTTTCTTCCAATTTTTATTTAACCTATAAAAACCATATAGTGCACTCAAGACAATATATAACAAGAAATTTAAGACATATATCTAAAATATTTTAAATTATGTGTTTTAAAATTCCACGGTATTTATGTTATGACTGCAATACTAACGGAAGGTTAACTGGAATATTCATATCTTCCGAAAAGGTGAAAAGAACACCTACCATCCCAACCGGGGTTTGAACCGGCTCCTCTGATTCCATTCCGTCGCGTCTCAGGTACCCACCCCTAAACAATAATAACGGTATGAGGGACTTGCTCGTTAACCGTTAATATTTAATAGGTTATACCATTGCGTACTTCTTAGTAGGTGTCATTGGTCGGAGTTCAAGCCTACTTAAACGTCAAGATTCAAAATACTGATTTTCAAGGCAAGCAACTCCCCCTCCACTGGAAGACTGACGGAATGCAAACTTTCTATTCTATTACCCCCTGTTTTTGTTTTGTTTGTTTGTTTGTTTTTTTTTGTCTTGTGACGCATTAAGCTAATCTTACTGAACATTCAAGACAGAGTCTGGAACAATGAAGGGATGGTGAGTCAGAAACGTATTTTTAAATAAGTATCGAATTTGAAATTGGTTGATCCGCTAATATTGTTAACTCGGCAATTTCTTCGGACTAAGCGTGCCGGAAAACCGATGGTGTGTGAGTCATCATGCATTCAGTCGGGAAGGAGCAGCAGCAGTAGTAGTAGTTGCAAACTGGGAGCGGTTGGCAGGCTCTCTTTCTCAGCTGATACCAATGCGGGCAGTGTTAGCTCATACGGAATTAGTAATCATTTAATATTATGTAGACACATTCAATCACAGATTCTTACGCATGCGTACATCCTGACGCCATCAGGGAGCACAATCGTACAGACTCAGAGACAAAAACACATACACGTGCTTATTCACATAATGTAAATTGGAAACACAGAGAGAGAGGGAGGGAGGGAGAGAGAGGAAGAAAGAGAGAGAGAGAGAGATTCCATTTCACACAGAGAGAGAGAGAGAGAGAGAGAAAGAGTTGCAATCGACCAAAAAAAAAAAAATGCTGATGATAATCTGCAAGCTGACGGAATTTGCGTGAATGACGGAATCGAAATTGGACATTAATTTGACCCTAAATTTCTACCGTTTGTTATATTGATATTTTTTTTAAAAATAAAAGTCATTTTGCTGCCATTTTTTTTTCATTATCTGTTATTTTTTAAGGAGATATAATTATAGAAGTGATTACGAGGGCTGAGTTCAAATTCTGAGCTAGAATGTTGCTTTCACTTTCGCACAAATACCCGTAAAAAAGGCATGAATCCGTTCTCCCCTCATACACACAGACACATACACACCAACCACCAACTTAAATAACATGCTAGACAAGTGTCTCTAGCCTTGGGTGGCAAGTAATTTAAGAGTAGGAAAACTCCACCATCTTTCCCAAGAACGTTTAACAATTCACAAGTAATAAAGAAGAGGGACCTGTGGGGAGTCATGATCACTTATGTCATGATGGCATTATAAAAAAAAAACATATTTCTTAGTTAGAGGATATACAATTTTGACCTGCAAAGGAAAAATACTTCCATTTTTTTTTTTAAGAAATGAAATCCTTCATTGCCACAAGATTTCGGTCGATCCATGCTTCAGCTGACTTCAATACGTATGACATGTAAAGAAAAGAAACAAGTCTTCCTCTAGGGTTTTTTTTTTTAAATTCCAGTAATCTCAAGTAGGCTCTTACATTGTTTTGTTTTTTCAAATCTTACTTGGGTTTGGAATATCAATGACTATACTCAAATTACTAAATATTTTATTTCTAATAAAACAAATATATGTATATGATTCATAAAATTACTAGGTGCGTATAAAAATTTCCAGTAGAAAACCGGATTTCAGCTGTGTCAACTTTTATTTATTATTTTAATTTTATTTATTTACGGATATATATATATATATATATATATATATATATATATATATATATATATATATATATATATATATATATATTTTAAAAAATATGTATTCATCGCGACACTGAAATTACCATGTTGCGAAACTAAAACCTAAATCTTAAACTTAAAATTTGAAGTTCAGTTCCATTTTTAAAGTAATGCTTATCGCTTGAAAAGGGCGCCTGATGAGGTGCGATGGCATGCATCAATTAGTATCACCTCAAGCAAGGCAGTAAAGCCACTAAGACACAAGGGGTTACAAGATGTGGAAGAATTAAGAACAGAAATATTGATAATGAGCTGAAACAGAAAAGAGTAATCAGGAGGACAGTAGATGGCGATTGACATTGCATTTAATTTTTTGCAGAATAAAGTTGGCTGGAAAGCATGGAGCCGGAAGGGAGTTTCACAAAAGAGAAAAGAAACTTTTAGCCTAGAACTTACGGCAACATCTAGCCAACTCAACTGTATATTGATGAAATCTTGATGCCAGTCTAGTACTGCGCTTAAATTCATAGAGTCTATTTACCATAGTGAAGAGCTCATCCGAACAATTATCATGAAAATATTTATAAAAAAAAGCCACAGAGATTCAACTTTACGGCGGTGGGTAAGTGACTGAAGCCGAGTCGCCCGATCAGGACCAATAATATTGCTGATTCATCTTTGGATCTTTATCAAGGAGATCAAGGTAAATAGCAGGGGCACCGGACCATATGTGGCAGCAATATTCTAAAAATGGACGAATTTATAGATATGTAAGATAGATTGTCTCGCACGACACAGTGCACCGACTTTCTTAGCAGCTGATCTAGGAATGGATTCAATATAATCTTTCCACTTCATGTCATATGAGAACATTAGCCCGAGAAGGCACAACGAGTCACTTTCCTGGAGGTTAGCATCAGCCATGCTGATAGAAAGCAGACAGGGGGTCTCTCAGGTGAAGGCAAGTTTAGACTTGGCCTGTAGATCTCATTGAGACGTTAAACTGACAGTTACCACGCAACGCAGATTCCTATGACCATACTTTCACTATATATAAACGTCTTAATATCGATAAATATAACAAATTTTAATCATATATATATACATATATATGTGTGTGTGTGTGTGTGTGTGTGTGTGTGTAGAGAGAGAGAGAGAGGAGGACTTACTTTATCTGTGATGTGTATGGATGTGCGGGAAGCTTAACGGTTATCAGCACGAAAAGTGAAATCAGCGAGCCAAGTTCCAATTCCTACTTGGTCTGTTGCATTCATTTTCGCACACCGTTATCTATGCGTTAAATAGCAGAATAGCCTTTGGTGAAAGCCAGCCTAGACGGAGTGCGCAGAATACAAAACCACAGAAAAGTCAGAGTCTGTCTATATTTCTGAGATGAGGTATTATGTACAGTATTTACATTAGTCGGACTATTGTCCTCATCTTTGTCGCCATATTTGTCACAACGTTTCGGCCGTTGTACGCTCCAGCCTTCTTCAGGTGGTTGGAATTTCGAACTGAATCCTTTATTTCGATCACTGGGGTAGACTGTTCTAGTTCCACGTGCCATGTTTGATGGATCCTCAAGGACATATGGCACTGTAGATAAAGGCGTTGGTTAGATCCAGTGACAGACCCAAAGAAGGTGAGTTCAATACCTGGTTAAGGCAGTGGAGAACTTTCAGAGGGAAAATTAGCAGGAGATAACTGATAACTGACATCCATCAAACATGGCACGTGGAACTAGAACATTCTACCCCAGTGATCGAAATAAAGGGTTCAGTTCGAAATTCCAACCACCTGAAGAAGGCCGGAGCGTACAACGGCCGAAACGTTATGACAAATAATGCGACAAAGATGAGGACAATAGTCCGACTAATGTAAATACTGCACAGAAAAGTCAGCGGGAAACCCCTTTCCCAAGAAACAATCGCAATTCTTGAATAATAAAAAGGGATATGTGGAGAGCCATGACCTCATCAATAAAAATCGAGATACGCTTAACAGAAAAAATATCAAAAGATTAAGGTAGACAGAATCAACCCCCCGATACAAGCAGTAGTCTGTGAGACTAACTAAACAACCATCTCTTCATACCAGACACCCTTAGACCGATAGATAGATTTCGTTTTTACGTCTTATCAACCCTTTGAAGATTATTTAAAGCCAGAACATATTCTTGGATTGTAAGAATTTGGGGATGGGGACAGTAATGATTTAACTGATACAAGTCTTACTAATTAACCCATAGCTGGGGAGAGTAGAGATGGATCCATACCTTTCCCAGGTGTATTTGCACGTAAGTGAATATAACGAAATCGACTAGAATTTGAACTTGGCTCTCCAATTTGCAATTTCGTGCTGTTATCCATTACACTATCCGCTACCTTATAGCCCCTGCTATTCCTAATTGGTTACCCATCTTGATATTGACCAGGCTCGACGTTGCTTAATTTCGGTGATAGGACGAGAACTGGTGTTTCGACTTGATATGGCCGTAAGCCACTTCGATAACTCTGAAAAGTAGATATGATCAGAGAAATATAATATTTTGGCATTAAAAAACGAAATGGTACAATGACGCGATTGTATTGATTAGGGCGATGAGAGTGAAATTAGTAATACAAAGGTAAATACGGCACTTCACTCCCGTCGCAGTCCCCACCCAAAAGTAGATGACTCGATGGAAGGGATGATGTCATTTTTAGAGGAAGGGTCATATCATTCTGCAACATATACACACATAGAAACATACCGAGAAACAGAAAGTATATACTAACAATGTACATATGCAAAAACACGGAAAAAGCATGGGATACGCACGGAGAATAATAAGTCATTGCATCGTATATAAAAAGTCCAAAGTTCTGAAATGTTTCATTCCATCTTTCTCCGCTTTCCAGGAAGATGGTCGGTGAAGTTTCTCAAATACGTTTTCCGTGTGTTAAGAAAAACACACAGGAAGCAAAAAAAAACAACATTCTCACAGACTTACATAAACACAGTGACAAACATAAAAATGAACTTGGCAGCACTGGATATGAAAAGGAAAGGAAGATTGTGCAGCGCAAAAAATTTCAAAAGAGCAAGGCCCGATTAACTGGAAAATCAGCATTCGGATTCCTGACTTTTCTCTGAGCTCGAACGCCGACTACTGGCTACCTACTGAACTACCTCAGCCAGTCAAACAAATCTGAGAAGGATTGCGTTGCGCCAGTCTTAAATATCAACATTCGAAATCCGACGACCAATATAAAAATAATCCACCCACCAAATAAGCTCTAAATAGAGCTAGTGGGGGAGGAGAAACAGACAGACAGACAGACAGAAAGCGCGTTCGATGTGTGTGTCTATGACAAATATCAGCTCAAGAAAAAAAAAAGATTAGTCTAAAGAATTCTACGAAAAGTTACCAATGTTGTACTTTGATTCCCAAGCAAAACAATAGCATAGTACCCGTCAAAAATTGTGTGATCATTTATATATGGATTTGTATTTCTACCTCGGGTGAAACATATATATTCGCAAGTGTATAACTTCATATATATATATATGCAAATGCATATACAGACTGTTCATGCGTGGGCATAGATATACATATGTGTATATAACTTTAGATAAAAGTAATTGAGAAATTAATTTTTATTATTTACAAATGAAGAAAAATTGATCTATCTATCTATCTATATATATATAGAGAGAGAGAGAGGAGGGACAGGGAAGGAGAGATAAAGAGAGAAAGAGAGCGACAGACAACGATTGAGATAAATTCAATGTTAATATAGAAATCAATACTGCATGTTAGGTGTTAATTTCCCGCCTCTCAGACTTTACTTCGACACACACACACACACACACACACACACACACACACACACACACACATATATATATATATATATATATATATATATATATATATATATATATATATATATATATAAACACATGATTACATATTTTGGGGTTTATTGATAGATAGATAGATAGATAGATAGATAGATAGATAGATAGATAGATGTTATAAATATAGTTTTAAGGTATGCTATATAGAGATATAAGGTATGTAAATATAAAAGTGGGCATTGGGGTCAACACACAGCGGCGACATGTGTGTGTGTGTGTGTGTGTGTGTGCCTGTGTGTGTATAGTTAAATAGATGGATAGAAAGAATTAGAATTTATATTTAAGAACAATAATTCAAACAACTTTTATAACATTCAACCAACCAGGTCTGTTTAATTTTTTGTCGTATTTTTTTATAATTTATGTAAATTGGAAAAATATATGAACAATCTTGAATTGACATACATTGCAGGTTGAATTGTTTAAAAAAACTTATATATTCATACATATACATACATATTGTATATATATATATATACATAATGCACACACAAACACACACATACACGCACACACATATATATTTGTATGTATGTATATATTTCTAACGAATTAATGGTTTTATTTTTACTGCGATACGTTTATTACACCAAATGTTATTTTTAGTGGATACCCTTGTTTGAAAGAGACGCCCTGTTCTTTTATTTTATTTTAAATAGGGTGTATTAAAGAAGATGCGATTTTCTTTTAGTTTTCTCGAATGAGTAAACAGATATACGTAATACGTGGTGTTTAAAAAAAAAATTAAATCAGGCGTCTATTTAAACCACCGGTATCCGCTGAAAATAAAATATATGTATATATGTACATTTCTTATTGAGAATGACTATAATTAGCCTCTTTTACATATACCCTCTCTCTCTCTCTCAGTCACATACACTCACACACATACATATATATATATGTATGCATATATATATATATATATATATATATATATAATATATATAAAACTATATATATATATATATATATATATATGGTTTTTCTCTTGTCTCTTTTTATTTATTTGTATATATATATATATATATATATATATATATATATATATATATATATATGGTTTTTCTCTTGTCTTTATATATATATATATATATATATATATATATATATATATATATATATATATATAAATAATTTGCATATATTGAGAGACATTTCTATGCCCATGTGTATATAAATATATTTGTTGTTATTAATTTACAAACCTGTTGTCGTTACTGACATCTCCAGTTAATGAGAAACATTCTAGGTACATTTGATATCTGTTTCCGGATTTTTTACAGAAACTTATCTCCTCGCGGAAAGTTATTTCCTTGCATCAAAAATCAATATTTATTCCTATAGATCGATACCGAAGTGTCTGCTTCATTCCTAAGTCCGTACTCTTCATTTTCAACACTATCACAACTCATAGTAGTAGCTGCTGCACAGCGAACAAGGTGTTTCTCCACCGGAAAAGTAATCAGCGAGGTTTTCAAATGTTGGGCTATCCTACAGTCATCCAAGTGAAACTTGTGCCCCCCTCTACTTTGCGCTCATACGCAAAAGGTGGGTGGGGGCTTCTTCGTTACTCTCTTTCCATCGTTTTTTTTTTTAATACATGCAGAACAGCGAAAAATATAAACAGTGACAATAATTTTACTGTATCGAGCATCAGACATTGATAACGTGAAACAGTTTCAAAATCGTGTAATTAATTGTGGGTGTCTTTTCTTGCTAACGCGTCTAAGAAAGGCATGAACCTCCACTTTTCTACCAGCTGTCACATTACATGGCACGGCCCCACTGATTGTCATGGAATGTTGGTAGAAGCCGAAAATAATCCTGTACCAATCCCCCCTTCCCTGTAAACCAATAAAGAATTAAACAGACACATTATGTTGAAACGAACACGCTTAAGAACCGGAGATCCTGTGCAATCACCACCACCCCCCATGATGCATAATAAGGAAGATCAGAAAATTGGATTGAATTCCAAGGCCACAACAATGGAAGACTCATTGAGAATTGAACTCACTTGTTCTGGCTCTACTATGAGCAAGCTAACCATTGCACACCACCAGCTTACATATCTCTCTATCAACATATATATGCACGCACACACACACAAATAGGCACACAGACGCATATAATATGTATAAGGAGATAGAGACATATATATGCACGCACACACACAAATTGACACACACACGCACACACACACACACACATATATATATATATATATATATATATATATATATATATATATAGAGAGAGAGAGAGAGAGAGAGAGAGAGAGAGAGAGAGAGAGATATGCACGCACACAAATTGACAAACACACGCATATAAATTTACCCTAAGATAAAGGGCGGTTACCTTTGATAGAACAAGCGGACCGTTTACGTCTGAACTTGCTTTTGATCCCTTTACCTATGGGAAAGGCATGAATCCACTTCACCCTGAGCTCTGTTTCGTCGACAGATATCTTGAAAAAAAATAGTTCGTCATTGCAATGCCACGATAGAGTTAGTGAGAGAGAATTTGATCGGATTGCCCCCCGAAAATTATCTCTTTCGCAGAATTAGCAACAGAAGGCTGCTTCTTTCATAGTCAGCCTTGACACAGGACCAATCAAGTCAAATATTCCTTCACTCCTACATACACACACACACACACACACACACACATATATATATATATATATATATATATATATATATATATATATATATATATAGGTGGGCTCCGTTGATGTTTGACAAACAGAAATGCCCGAACAGGCGTCTGCAATGAGGATTGAGTAGCCGCCCTAGGAAAGTGGCATCTCGGATTCGATTGCCTGCACCATTTACCTTACTATATATATATATATATATATATATATATATATATATATATATATATATACTTATGGATAAAAGGTTTTACCAACGACAAGATTTAACAAGGAGGTGGCATATACTTAACATCAGGAAGAAGCAGCTGAAGTTCCTGGGACACATAATGAGGTAGGAGTGTCTGGAGAATTTGATACTCACGGTTCAAATAGAGGGAAAGGGAGAACAATGCGTGACATATTTGGCGAACTTAAGAAAGTAGATGACAGAATGAGATCTGGGGGGAGGATGCAGACAGAAGGAACTTGTTGAGAGCTGCAAAGGATAGAGGGAGGTGGCGAGCCATGATCACCTACGTCACGAAAGGACATGACATATGAAAAGAAAGAAATAAAAAAAGAAATCAACTGGGTTCAAAATATTGGATGCTTCGAGCATTTTTGCCGTATACAATCGTCAGGACTATTTGATACTGGGTGCACAATACAATCGAAGAAACGCAATAAATGAAGAAAGATTTTTGGGTGATTTTACAAGTACAGCAATATACTTTGAAATCTCGATTTACTTTACCTCCATATCAAAAAATTATAAAAGTGATTTAATTATTTTTTTTTAATATTAGGCCCACACACCGTTACTTCTCTTTGCTAATCAAATTCGTGTCGTTATTACCTACTTCTGACGATCATAGAAAAATTTATATACGTCCGACCTGTACCGAGTTAGTTATAATCATTAAAATATAAAGTTATATAAAAAGTATATGTTAG